TCCAGTAGTGAGACCAAGCGCAACACCACTTGGATATGGAGACGAAGCCCCAAAAGTTCTTGATGTTGCGGTTTGAGTCCTCCCATATAATGACTCGTGCGAATGCTGATGCCCGATGAAGCCATTCCCGTAGTAATGCGTATCATCCTGTTCCTGGAAATAGCCCTTATTCAAGCTGTTTAACATCGTGTCCATCTTCCCCCTGTTGTAGGGAATTATCTCCTCGTAGTCGTCAAACTTAAACACCGGTCGATTAGTATTCCTCACTGCGTAATGCCTGACTTCCAACAGCATGCAGCTTGACCAAATAATGAACGTCAGCGTGACCCCGATTCGTATGCCCGCCCAGCCGGCGCCCCAGAGGCGTTTGCGCGTCTCAACGATTTCATCGATGTACTCGCCACATCCCACACATTTACGAGGCAAAGGTGAAACAATTTCTTCATCCTCTTCGCAATCTGCAGGTGGCGGAAGGTCTGGCATGCCCCTTAGAAGAGGATTCATCTTGGAGAGCAACACATTCTCGAAAAAGGAAGACCGTGGAGAAGAACAGGAAGTAGATGCTACTGCTGCTGCAGAACTTGACGAGGAGAGCTCATTCTTATCGCCAGGAGCAGGAGAGGCGTCGGCACCTGCAGCTCTAAGTGCGCCAGATGATGAAGAGGGTGAACCTAAAAGTAGAAAGAGGAAAGCTACAAGCCGGCCAAGCGCTTTGAGCGTCGCTGGACCTAAATCTTCGCCGTTTTACCTTACGGGCAAAATAAGCCAATCAAGATTTGCAGCACAGCCTGCCTGCTCTGACTAAGTATATAATTATTAAGGGGAAAAGCCTTAAAGATGATGAACCATGTAGGGTCGTCCCTTTTGAAGAAGATTTCATCCCAGCAGAAGTTGTGCTGTTGCTACTTTTCGACGTTGTTCCTCTGCCAGCGGAGCTGGAAGAAGAAGACTGTGCAACATTTCCTCCATCTCCTACTTTTCCTTGTGATGTCCTACTTGTTGAGACAGGAGCCTTCTTGTAGCTCCGAGAAAATCGCCCCTCTCGACCTACAGTCGTTCTAGCGCGCATTCTTGCTACAGTGGCATGCTCCACTGAGGCGTACAAGTCTCTAAGTTCGCTGATAAAGCTGTGGACGAGAAACATGAGAGCGGATTGCATGCATCTTGAGGACTGCACAATATCCGACACTCGAGGTCTGGAGCAGGAATAACACCGCACACCAGTTCGTCCCTGGGACCGTTGTTCCGAGGACGAGAGCCTCACATGCTCGGGACGAAAGAATGTTTGCATGTATTCTTCACGGTAGTCCCCATCAGTGAGTGAATGGCTCCGGTCTTTGGTATAGCCTGAATTTGATCCTAAGGGAAAACAAGAAGAGAACCCTTAGGATCAAATTCAGGCTATACCAAAGACCAGAACCATACAATGAGAGTGCAGATGGCTCCAACGATCACCTCTGAGATGGTGCCAGAACTTCTCTGTGGTGAATCCTGTTGAATAAATGTGCTGGATTTTCCACCTCTACTACGACCTCCTTTTGTGTCGTTATTGGAGATCATGGTGTTCCCGCTTTGACCACGCGGTCCGTGTCTACTAGCATCGTCATCTCCTGCCTGAGCGTCCTCTTGACGAGCTTTCCGACGTAGTCGCTTCTCCGTCATGCTTCTGCTTTTCTTCGCGGAAGCCCGTTCGAATCCTGCAGCTCTCGCTAAGGCATTCGATCGAGGCTTCACAGAAGTAGCAGGAGTAGCTGCTGCTGAGAAGCCTTCTCCTGCGTGATTTACTTCTTCTGCTTCATCTGCTTGCTCCTCTGAAGAGCCTGTGGTCCATTTTTGTACCGCAGACTCCTCGGCGGGACTGCGTAGATGTTGAGAGATAGAAGCAGATTCCCGTTCTTGCAGCTCAGAACTACTGCGGTCCCTTACTTGTTCAGGTGCTTGCTCCTCGCGAGGAACGCATGGCGTCTTGTCTCGAGAGAGCCTCTGCATCGACTTCAAGCAAAGCTTGAGCGCATGCGCCGCGAGAGCTCTGCGGGAAGTGAGGAAGTCTACTGTTTCAAAACCGTCGTCTAATCTCCCATCTCGTCCTCCACTCGTATTCGCCGTGCCTGTGGAAGAAGAAGATGGATGTTGATGTCTTGAAGACTTGTTGTGCTTGTTTTTCTTGCCACTGCTGCTTGCACTTTTTGAGGTTCTTGATGAGCTGCCACCTGCTTGACCTCCACGTGCCCGTTGATCTTTATTGCCCTTCCGCAGTAGAGGTTCCGCACCAGGTACCTCTTCGCCTCGCCTTACTCGCCTATGGCGGTCCATAATCTTACGGAGTTGAGAGATCTCGTTATAGCCGTCAACGTCGTGTCTCTGAAGCGTCCGAAGTAGGGCATCGAAACTGGAAAACAGTATATGCCCGACCCAGCCATCCTTCGCGACTTTTTGCATAAAGTCCTCTGCGTCGTCTGTCCTAATTCGGAGATCATTGTTTTGCTCACGCTCACGCTCAGAAGCTTGTCCTGTACTAGAAGTAGAAAAACATCCACCTCCACCACCCTTCTTGCCACCTTGATTTTGTTTCACGTCCACGACATAGAGCTCATTCTTCTTTCCGCGATTCTTGCTTGCTGAAGGGGGCATATTTCGATTACCACCTCCGGAAGAAGGCGAAGCTTTTCCTTCTACTGTACTAGAAGAAGTTGAAGCTCCCTGTTGCAGCTCTAAAGCTAAAGCTTGCTTGAGAATGGAAGATAGTAGGTCCTGCCCTCCTTGTTCTTGCATATTAGGACATGGACATCCCGTTCCCGGCAAGTCCGCTCCACTTGCACTTGGAACAGCATTTTTAGTCCTACAATTAAAATCTGCGTGTTCTTTTTCTAGCGCGCTTAACGTGCTTTTCGGTACAAAAGCAGCTATAGCCCTTAAAGCTGTCGGTACTGGTCCTGTTCCGTGGATACCAGCTACCATAGATGCCCTAGAAGTAGACGCACCTTCACCACCCATCACGAGGGACCCACCTCCGCGGGGACGCGCGCCACCACTTCTGCTACGTCGGCGAGACCCGCGACTGCGCTTGATCCCAATGGCGGAGCTGCTGGGATCTTCTGGTTCCAGAGAAGGGATCATGCCTTCAGCAGAGCATAAATGATCCTCTTGATCGCTGTTTTCTTGGTCAGGAGCTCCAGCTGCAACAACATAATTTTTAGTGGTCCTACTATTATTTTCTGGATTGCTAAAGAGGATGCCTCCAGATCCAGTGCTAGTAGTACCACTTCCAGGAGGATTAACGCCAGCAGGATTAGCACCTAGCCGTTCTCTTGATCTTGCCCGCCTTGACGACCTACTGGTTCCGGGACAGGAAGACGGCGGATCAGACGCAGTTATTGTAGTCGTACAATCCTTTTCTGGAGCCCGTTCTCCAGTTCTCGTTCTGCGTTTCGCTGGCGTAGGTGCACGTAACTGAGCCTTGTTGTTTACATTCATCCCATCTCTTTTTCTAATGTCGTCGTCAAGGGACAGGCCTGCAAATTTCTGAATTGCTACAGAAAGTGGAACAGCTGCTTCGACGGTTTCTTTGCTGGCAACACTTTCGTCGAGCAATTTGTCTTCGGTTGGTGGTTCTGTTGCAGCTGCAGCTTTTGGGGCTTGACCTTCAGCAGAAACCGGCTGCTGGAGCTTATCTTCCAGTACAAGTGGTGAGACGTCTTCTATCCCGGTACAGTTTAGAGCATGTTCAGTATCGTTTTCGTCAAGCAACTCAGAACAATATGTCGCAGTATCTTCAGCCGGTGTCCATGGCGGGAGTGGTGAATTCCGAATTCGCGTGATACAACGAAAAGGTGGAGACCACTTACAGGTATTTGTCTTGAGTTGTACTTGTTTTTGTGCATCAAGTTGTGATGTTTTTGTTCTCGATACACTTTCGCTTTCAGCGAAGGTTTTTTCTTGTTCGCTTTCTGAGAGCAAGCAGTCCACTTTGCAGTCCTCTCGTTCTTCGGGACAATCTCCTTGTTTATGTTTTTCAAATCCAGCTTCTGAGTCGACTGAAAATGGAGATTGAGATGACCCTTCTTCATCTGAAGAGTCTGATGTACCACCGGGCCCCACTAGAGGGTGCTTATTCTTGCTTCTTCTCCGCACAAGGCTGTACTCAAACGTCGCCACTATATCGCAAAAGTTCACCACCCTACTTCGAGAACAAGAATCAGCTTCGGAATTCCACGCGTTTTCAACACATCCAGAATGATCTGAAGATCGCGCAGCACGTCGCTGATCAAGAAGCTGAGCCCAGTCTAGATCCCGAAAATCTTCATAGATTTCAGCGGCACCACGTGCCAGAGTTGCTAAAATGCTGGCCGCAGGATGCTGATCGTCTGTCCCTTCGTCATCGCTATTGCTATCTTCAGAGGAAGAGGAAGATGAACTAGTACACTGCTCGAGTTCGTGGCCCTCATTTCCATCGGCGTTATCTTCTGAGAAATCATCATCATAATTTCTTGATGCAGCTGGAGCTGCGACAGCGCTAAAAAGCATAGAAGAAGTGGCCGTCAGCCACAATGTGACTCCAAGGATCGCCTTCTTCGCCGAGAGCGAGCGTCGTCCTCGAAGAAAACGCATCCTGCTGGTCCATCTCGAATCAAGGAGAAGGACCGATCGATACTTGCTAGACTCACCAGGAGACATTTTGATTTATTTCATTTTTCATTTTATTATTGTCAACCAGTTTCAAAATGATAACTTCCATGGATCTTCGAAATTTAAACGATATTGGTCCGTCGTGATACTCATACTTAGCCTAGTGCATCATGATGATACTTGGTCCCTACCATTCATCCATGCTCAACAAGAGTTTTAAAAAATCATGTTGATGTACTTGTATTTTTCAATTTCAAAGTCTTCGGCCAAATGGCCAGCGCACCAGCTGGGGTGGCCGCAGAGGGACTACCAACCGCGCTTGTAAAGAAAGAGTCGCACATGCAACGTGATCAACACGACAGCCAGCACCAGTTCTTCCCGCTAAAAACGTCGTTGCTTGTTGTTAAGTTGTTCAGAAGAAAGAAGTAGTTGTACTTGTATGCAGCAATGTTGATGTTCAGCAAAATTTTAAACACGAATGCTGGCAAAATTCGCAAGTAGACGACGCAGCGTTCATTCACAAGGCCTCACCAGCCGTTGTTCCAGGATCAGAACCTATTAGGCTTTGTGCCAGGTCGCGTGTTTCACAACCACGTCTGAGTATGCTGTGTTGATGTTTCGATTATATAGCGATATTCATTTCCTGCAAATAATCATGCAGGAATTTTTAGATGGGCCAAATGTAAAGTTTGAATGTGCGTGTTCCCACCCTAGGAGATAGAGAAAGACAGGATTATTCTCACGATAAATAAATATCTCACGAGGATGCGATGAAGGTAGGACGAAGATGTAGTGTGCATCTGATCGCGTACTTCGAGCACACTAACACAACTCGTCTTACTAGTTGATGTCGGAGGTTTATTTTAACATGAGTTGTAATATTGTTGTTAACGCAGCAGACGACCATCTTCGCGTTCGCAGTTCAATTCATAATAGTACGTCACATCACTCGCGAGTAACGCTTAGCTACACATAATGAGACTTGGATTGCTCTCCATCCTTTTTTCAGTCATTAGCCTGTTCGATAACGTGACGAAAACTAATGGGAATAAAACATGGAGTTTCTCTTTCAACGAACATCTTTTTTTGGTGGCATTTGTGAGACAAACAGAAGCCTAATACTTGCTCTTGCTTGATGGTTAACTTCTTTTGCAGCATCGAATAAAAAAAAAACTACGTCCGATAACACAAAAACAATGATAGTAGAGTCAAGTAGATAAATTTTTTACGAAAAAAACCACTCACGCACTAGTATTGTTTCAAATTGATTTGGGATAACGATCACTATTACAGCAGTGCTCAATACCCTCGTCAGTCAATCAATCAATTTGCGTCCGCAGGGCACCGCCCTCCCCGCAGCTGCGACTACGCTGCGACTTCCGCACCTCTACGCTCGCGAGCGATATGAGGGAACGACATTATCCACACCACGTGGGCCGGAGCAATACATATATTAGAATATGAGGCAATCCCCGAACTTCTGGATTGCATGGCATGGATGGCATGCATTGCATGGATGGACCACCCAAAAAACAATATATTTTTCGCGGCGCCCTTCGGGCGCCATACTTCCCCCGCAATACCGGGCTGCTCCGCCGAAGAATTACTTTACGATACACGAACACAAACACGGCCCCACGGTGACCTCGCCCCAGAAACAAGCAAGGAGCAGCGCAAACGCCGTGGCCGGTGTGCGCAAGGGGACAGTGAGCAAGACGGCCGAGATCACAGGCAAGCTAGCCTAGTCGAGCTACTTACAATAGCTAGCACGTGCCAGCACTATTCAAGTACTCCTACAACGGAGCCAGGTATTCCTATGCCGCGCCCTGAGTCTGCGTTCCCGTGTCGCTCCCTTAAGAGGGTCGCACTCTGACCCCCTCGGCTCATGCAATGCATCCAATGCCATGCAATCCAACATCCTTCTTACGAAATGTTCTAATATATTTATAAGACTAGTACCCCCCTGGTGGCGGATGTAGTCCCTAGTCTTTTCTAATCTCTGCTACATCTACAGCAGACGTAAGAATACTTCCCCCCTAGATGTAGTTGTCCCTGACCTCTCCTACTATATCAGTCTCCATGAAGATATGCACGACGATAACGTGGTTAGTCAGACGTGAGAAGCTCCTCGACCACAACCGAAAAGGTATGATCGTCTACATGATGATGATGGAAGAAACGAGTACGTAAAACTGCTCAAGTTGTTCAAGAACAAAAAATTGCTATTAACAAACAACTACTCGTAAAGAAAACGTTGTAAATTTGGCTTACCGGATTTTCAGCGGATTTTTGATATTGTTTTTTTTTAGTGGGTGAAATTGATGGAAAATCAAGTAGCTAGAGGCAATTTAAGAAAATGCATTTTGGACCCAGTCAATTTTAAAAAATTAGACCACCACGATGCACGCGAAAAAAATGCACTTGGAGCACACTAAAAATTCACACTTTGAGGCGTTGCACTTGATAAAAATCACACTACACCCAGGACATCAAGAAAATGCGTCTCCAGCTTCTTTAACTTAAAAAAATCAGACGAGGCTAATCCACGCCAAGAAACCGACTGGCGAAGGAACTTAGAATCTATTTTTTAAGGCCTTTAGACTTGATAAAGAAACTCCTTGAGGACCTGCCTCAGAAGTTTCATTTTAGCGGCTTCAATTGAAGAAAGATAGAGACTAGCAGGGCCTATCAAGAAAGCGGGAGTCTTGCTTGATCTTGGTGGCTGCGACAGTGATAGACTTAGACAGAGAACTAGAGGGGTCATCATGATCGTGAAAAAGTAAGCGGCGCCAGTCTCAGCCGCTCAGACGCGGCGCAAACATGGAAACAGACGACGCGCGACCGCAGTCAGCAAGGCGCCGCTTGTTGGGAGCTTGTTTGCTTTAGCGCAAGCAAGTGAAGAAACAAAAAGAACAAGAAGACCGCGACAAGCAGCCGATCCGGAGGGCGCACCTTGAAGGTCATGACTTACTTTGGTACTGGTCTTTTCAGTTTCTGTTTGCTTTTGAGTAGCTGCTTCTCTATCTGTGGCACAAGATGAAGGGCAAGGGCTACGACAGCGACTACCTTGACCACTGCCACCCCCACTAGTGCTAGCAGTAGCGGGGCCAGTGCTAGCACTAGTAAGATTCTGCGGAAGGTTTGCCATGCCCATACTCATGGCGATCGATCGTGAGGGCCTTAGTCATGGCGATGGCCGCCGTGCGTTTGCTTTTGCTGGGGAGGGGGCGAGGGCTGGCGATATTTGTTTTGATTGTAAGCAAAGCACGAGCAGAAGCACGCTGAGCGCTGCCGCTAGCCGCCGGCTACGGATGAGCCGCGGATGGGGTGCAGGGCTCGGGTGGCCGTCGCCATGTCAGGCGAAGAGCCTCAACTCCGGGAGGGGTAGTCTAGTGGCCCCACCACGGTGGGGGCTTGCAGTAGCTGGCGCTAGTTCTGGCGCAGCTGTCTCGACTAGAAAAGCGCGGGCCGCAGACATGGTAGCATGAAGGCGGAGGCCGCCCATCGCCAGGACTACTGCTACTGCGTCTACTGGCGCTGGTAATGGCAGAGCTAGCGCTTGCACTACTACAGACGCAGGCTCGAATAGGGCTACCGCTAGGCTATGCGGTTGCTTCGGTTTGGATAGTCTAGGCCCAACCCTGGGCCTTTGGCTTTGCGCTTTCTATCAAAGCCAAAGGCACGGCGGCAGCGTCGAGGCGTTTCGACTTGCACGCCCACACTAGCAGTAGCGCGATCTTATCCTTCTACCCCTTACCATTTGGACTCGTCATCTGAGTCTAGTATTTGGAACGCAGTCTGGTTCTAGTATAACTATACTGATTTTGATTAGGTGGGCTGGGCGGTCGGGTGGGCGCGCCCGTGCGCCTGCGGTAGCGGCGGAGCGGAGGTGGACACGCGGAAACTGGACTAGGCGTAGGCCTGCTGCTTTGGTTTTTTTTTGCGTTTGGGTGTGGTACCAGCGGGACTGGGGCTAAAGCGATTTGCATGTAAAAGTATAAGATTACGATTAGGCTTAACAACAACAACCGACTACCAAGAGGAAGACGAAGAGGAAGATCAAGACGATGGCCATGATCTGACCCCGATCTGATTCCGATCCAGATCCTGACGCTGATGGCTGACGATAGTAGTAATATTTTTGAGCCACGAAATGCCTTTGCCTTTGCTTGAAGATAGTCACGAACACGACGATGGTCATGATCTTGAGTTACAGCTACGCACAAGCTCCCCTTGCTCTAGTAGTATACGCATAGCTATAGTGCTTGTTCTAGTGTAACTGGTGGCAATGCTGCCACCGACGAACAGCAAGGGGCACAGTTAGGCGCGAAGAAATAGAGTAGAAACATGGCGCCAGAAGCGGCGAAAGAGCGGCAAACACGCAGAAACTGGATCGCTGAGGAGCTCGATTTCGATCCTACCGACGTCGATCTCCTTGGTGGCTTCGAGATTCGGCCTACAGTGCAAGGGCTGGCGTGCAAGTTGAGGACGGACAGCACGGAACAAAAGCAGTACTTCTCGACTTTGCGGCATGCTAAAGTAGATGGCCAGAAAGTCCTAGACTGCCACAAATGCGGCACAAAGACCAAAGCGGTAGGTCTCCAGGATACAGCGGCTGCGCAAACGTTGCTGACGCAGTTTGCGATGCGAGTTCGGTTTCTTTGTCTATTCTGGAGCAGCTACAGCATGGCAATGCCAAAGGGCCCGGATGAGCTCGCAATACTAGCAGAAGCATACGAGTGCTGGATGGCGCCGCTAGAGCCCCTACTGGCGACCCATCCCAAGACTGTACCAGAAGCAGACACCAGTAGGCCCATCCATCCTTCTACGTGGAGCTGGCTGCGCGTCGCCACTGCGGCAGAGATGCGGAAGCTGCGGCACCGAAACCGCCCAGGCGTGGACCTGAATGGCGTCACATCAGTATTGGGAACAAGCTCCGCTGCCACCACACCGAAGTCACGAAGGAGAAAGCACATCGATCCGAATCATGTCACGCATGGACTCGATGAGGACGATTCGGGGGGCCTCCTCTTCAAGGATAGGCAACTCGACGCAGATCCTTCACTAGCAGACGACGCAGATGATGCCTACTCCGAGCACGATGATGAAGACCCGGATGAGGAGGGGCTTGCCGACGAACGCGATCCGTGGCGCGAACGACAAGACGTCGAGGAGAGTCTCACTCTCAGCTTCGGGATGTTCGAGTGAGACGATAGCGACAAAGAAACTAACTGAGATACAGACGCTGACGCTTTCGCTTATCCTTGAGCCCTAGTCTGTTACAATTTTACACGATCAGAGTGATGCAGATACTGATAGAGATAGCGACCATCACGATAGTCGCACTTCTAACACAACTCCAATGATAACGCTTCCAATATGAGTACGACTACGATAGCAAGCATATCGACTCTTAGCATTAAGATTATGGGACTCAGATAGATACAGATAGGCTCTCCATCTTCCATAAGCATAACGATTCCGCTGGCGACAACATTACGCCATGGCCATCGCCAGTCCCACAAATAAGCAAGAGAACAGAAGAAGAACGAGACTTCCAAAACAATGACAAGAACTACAACAGCGTCGAGCGCAGATACTACAGCAGAGCGCTGCTATTACAGAGGCAGACTCTGACTATGAGTAAGCTGATTCTTATTATTATCGCCTAAGTGAGGCCAGACTATTGGACTACGAATGAATCACAACCGTACCCATTACCATTCGCAATCGCATGCAGGGAGACTACTTCTATGACTAAGACAAAGACTATGCTTATGACTGTTGGACGGGCGTGCTACTCTATGACTTGGCTGCTGATTGTTGAAGAAGAGCATCGAGCTAATGGAGCTGATTGCGACTGGATCCCGATGCCAGTCAGCGCGCGACGGGAGATTTAGAACCAAAACGAAATCTAGAAGAAAAATCCACCCACTAAGAATCGGCTGATTGCTGTCTTTCAAGGCACTCAATCACCACCAGAGTCCGAATATAATAAGGCCAATCAGCCCGACACAGGGTCGATTTGAAGGGTGTCAGCATGTTTTTAGGCCAAAAATGGCCACAGAAACTTGCGGACTGTAGTGGTGATAGGAGAAAAAAGGTGGCCACTTTGATGGCTTCCCTTAAAAATGGCAAAAACGGGCTTTGCGGATTTTTAATATCGGCGTCAAAGTGGGCCCCTTTTTGAGGTTGCGGATTTTCATTAGCACGACTAGACTCCGCGTTTTTGCTGCTCTGGAAGTAAATCCATTTTGACGCCTAAATTAAAAATCCGAAAAGCCCGATTTTGCCACTTTTAAGGGAAACCATCAAATTGGCCACCTTTTTTCCTCTATCACCACTACAGTCCGCAAGCTTCTGGGGCCATTTTTGGCCTAAAAACATGTCGACACCCTTCAAATCGACCTTGTGTCGGGCTGATTGGCCTTATTATATTCGGACTCTAGTGGTGATTGAGTGCCTTGAGCGACACCAATCGGCCGATTCTTAGTGGGTGGATTTTTCTTCTAGATTTCGTTTTGGTTCTAAATCTCCCGTCGCGCGCTGACTGGCATCGGGATCCAGTCGCAATCAGCTCCATGAAGTCGATGCTCTTCGTAAACACCACAGTCATTATTTCTATTGCATTGCAGTCCCAGACCCAGTCAGTATTTAGCAACGAGATCGAAGCAAAGCTGTCGTAGCCGTCGAGCTCGAATCTGAGTGAACGTGAACGAGGCCAATTCTATACGTATCCAGCGCGAGCAAAATCAACAAGAAGAAGAGAGCGAGGCCTATTGATTCTACTCGTCTTCGCAGAAGTTGGGCTTGCACTTGGATGCTTGTCAAATTGTCTTGCGTCGCTTCGTAAGCCTCAAGTCCGGATCTGAGTGAAAGAGCGCAATCCCATCCAGCGTGAGCAAAAGCACAAAGGAGAAGAGCAAGAAAGTGAGAGAATGCGCCGCCTTCGTTTGTTTCTGAGCAGTAGACCCCATCGCTAGCCTTACTTAGTACGAGCGTCGAGATAGCTCGTAGTCGTTAGCTTTAGCATGAGCGTGAGCGTCGAGCAACTCCTCCTTTCGCATTCGGGTTCGCTGTCTGATTATGATTTAGCATTAGAGCCTGACGCAGATGCTGACTTCTTCGCGCAAAAGGTAGAGGCAAGCGAAGACGTAGATTGCGAGCGCTGCCCTTTATCGATTGCCGTTAGCTACTTTCACTCTGCGCTGTCTGTGTCTTGGCCATTGGCTGCAAATCGAAGCCCAAAGCTGAAAACTGCCGCTATTATATTTATGCTGACCCAAATACAAGACAACTTACACACCCTACATGTACATAGGTAGCAAACGTAAAAGGCAAGACGAGACGAGTGGAGTTAGACTCCCGTCTGACGAACGCAGTCTACTACTTACGAGCGAAGCTTCAGCGCTCTTTTTACAGAAACAGCAACGGCTACAGCTACAGTCTGACGCCATCTACAAAAGATCTAGATCGGCCAAGAATCACAAAGACAAAAGTACGCTCCTCACCGTTGCCCGTACAACTGCAAGCTGAGCAGCAGGCTCTCTCGCTATTCGTATTCTTCGCTGAGCGTGAACGTGAACGAGAATCAAAACCAAGACAGAGGAGAAGCAGGCGCCAGGCATCCACACTCTTGCCCCTCTCTAGCCATACCCGTATAAGCTTAAGCATGTGCGGAAGTGAGTGAAGATGTGTAGCGTTTGTTTTGCCATTGTAGTGCAATTTCGCCACTGCAGTGATTCAGCAGTTGTTCCTGACATGACTGCACTAATAGAAAACCAACAACAGCAACGACTACAACTCTAACACTTTGCACTTACTCTCAGTCGGTCTCTGACTCTTCTAGGCTATGGCTCGCTCTTGGTCTCGTCCTAATTGTTAAGTGGAGAGAGACAGCAAATCCTTAACACACAGGTCGAGACCTATCCGAGATTAGCAAACCCAACCCCGCCGGCAGAGTGGACTTTGATCCCAATGGTGCACACCCCTCTGGTATGGGTTTCCAGGACTATGCCCAAGCGGAATGGAACGCCGAGGCGGAAGGATGGAACGCCGGGACGGGGGGCGAAGGTTACCAAATGGACGAGTATTGGCGTGGCATGGAGGCCGCGATGATCCGAAATGATCACTATGAGAGTCCGAAAGTGACGACCATGCTCATGAGCATGGTCGTGATTTGATACTAATGCTAATACTAACTATGGAGGTCAAGCCCCACTCTAACTGTAGCCGTGCTGCTACTGCTAGGCGTTGCTGTTGCGCCCTATACTCTTACTCACTCTCACACGCTAACGCTTACAATTACGCTTACAATTGCAATGAGTTACGCTTGCCCCTCAGAGTCATCCACTTTCCAGCGTCCCAATTCAGTCGCTTTCTCTAAAGAGTAGTAGTTAGTGTTTCTATTTGTATTCGAATTGGATGAAGTTTAAGATTGACACTGGGACGGACGCTGAGCATCAGCATGAGCGTGAACGCCTTGCGTTCAGGATCAGGCTCACGCTGCACAAAGGCAGAATCAAGAAGAAAGCCCCAAGACAGAGAATGAGAAGCAGGACAATAAGTATATAACTATAACTCGCCATAAGAATAAGTCCCCGCGGTCACGCTTGAGTCTCGAGTCTGTGCCTGGCGTCTGAGTGTGTGTCGTCTGTGTGAGTCAGAGTGATAGAAACTGACACCGAGATAGTCACACTAAATCATCATAGTGCTAAGCTTTGGCTTAGGCTTACGCGACTCCAACTGTAGGACTGAGATAGTTCTAGCTTAGATTTAGCCTCGCTTTTAGTAAGACTCTTTCACCTTTACGCTTACGCTGTCACTGTGATTTTTATTGTGATGCTGATTGTCATTGAGACCCTGAAACTGAATAAGAATGGCCATAGCGTTAAGCCTCTGGAGTTGTGACCCGCACGCGCGCGCCCAGTCTGTACCAGCACCGGCTAGGTGATCTGCAGCCCCAGTCCCGAGCATTACCAAAGAGCCACAAGCAATACCAATACGAGCACCAGCCCCATTGCCAAGAGCGAGACCAAGCGAAGACGTTGGCCTTGGTGTACATGTAGACGACGGCTCTTGGCGCTGTCATCGACGACACGACCACGATGAAGATGGGCTTGGGCCTGTGGCTGTGGTAGAGGTAGCGCCTGTTCTACTTCTGGCGAGTCTTCCCAAAACTCGCGGTAGTGGTAGTCCCAGATGCATCCGCATCGCTGAAGAAGCAGAAGACGTCGGCGAAGGTGATGCTGAGGCACTTGCGCGCGCCGTTGAAGATCAATGCTGAGACTCCAGCTGAGGAATTAGTCTCAGTCTTAGCTGTTTCCTGAAGTTCCAGCTTGATGCTGAGCATGAGCTTGTCCCTTGAAAAGCCCGCGAGCCGCCTCCTCGCTTCATTGAGGATCCGCCCCAAGTTGCCCACGCTATTGCCAGCCGTCGACGGCTATGGCAGTGGGTGCGGAGCGTGTTCACATAGCTGAGGCTGACCCAGATCCACTAAAACTGATCCACAAGAGTTAATGCTAAAGCGCCTCACTAAGAAAGAGAGAAGAGGAAAGAGAGGGAAAGGCCCTAGCTGAAGGAACGAAAGGAAGAAGCGAGAGTCCGAGCCCAAGTCGGTGGCTAGTCATATTCCCCTCATGATTTTTCCAGCGTGGACGAGTGTGGTCATTTCTCTCTTGCTTTCACGTTCATGCAGAGCAGCGCGAACGAAGGAAGGAAGTGGCGACTTCTCTCTTGGTTTTTTTTCCGCAAGTCAGTAATAGGATGCACGTCCTACGTTGGTTCTCTATATGGTTTCGCTAAGCGTACAAAACTGATTTGCATACTACTCTTATGGGGTTTTTTTTTTTTACGCCTAGCCCACTGAGGAAAATCGTGAATAATTCTCCTTGTGTGACTTTTTCGCTTTAGCTACTAAAGGTTTTTCCTCTCTTCAGATTAACCCAATGAAAAAAAGAAAAATTCCTTAGCCTTAGAGGCTTTTTCTCTCATCGGATGAACCCACTGAAAAAAACGAAAAAACTCCTAGCCTTAAAGGTTTTTTCTCTCGTCGGATTATGTCCTTGAAAAAAGAAAATTTTCTTACTGTTATAGTAGTTTTTTTTTCTCTGATTTAAGAGGTCCAAAAAAATTAAAAGTATAAATCCGCTGAAAATCCGGCATCGCATTTTTACAACGTTTTCTTTACGAGTAGACAAACAACAGAAATTAATTATATGGAAAAACAACTGTCTCGGCCGCGTTTCGCTTCTTCGCTGACTTTGCTCCTCGAACTGGTCATGGTGTTGTTCAGCAGCAATTTCAACATGCTTACCACTATGGTATCGTCTACTACCAGTTAGTACAATTGATTAGGTACGTATATCATGTTAAGCACTGCTCTAGGTTTATTTTCGCCCATTTACAGCATAAGAATAATAAGTACTTTTCTTGTTGGGGGTCTCCTCGTGGTTTCACGGCTGTACAAGGGTTGTCGTAAAACCATCAGAGAACCAAAATTGAAGCAGGAAAACAAGGTAATATTGGCAAAAAGTAGGGTTGGAACGCTAAGCCAGATGACCGACACCGTCATCGCAGTTGGCCGTAGGCTCATTTATCGTTCTTGCTCTTCCTTTTGTCCGTCGCCGCCCACAAGAGGAGAGTGAGTGTTGTAAGTAGCACAGCAGGATGTTCGATGGTGTATCCATCTTCTTCTATAAATAAGTACAAGAACTAGAAGAGAACTGCTGCAATATACAACTTGAACAAATTCCTATCACAACATCAAGAGCTTTACTAGATCGACGACAACAACTACAACGACATACATAGGATAGTAGGATAGGATGCTTCTACTTCGCTGTCACATCGAGGTGACTGGTGCCGCAGTCTTAGTATATAAAATGCATATTTTTGCTTTTCATCTCATCCAGTCGCTGCTACAGCTTTCACAAACAGCTGCGCATATTGATATTTATACATTAGTTACGAGAAGAAGAGTGAAGAGAAAGACGAAGGAATATAGATTGACACTTGGACATCAGAATCGCTGAGATATGTCGAATCTATTCTCTTGATGAATGGTGGTAATTGGAAAATTAGAAACGGCAAAGCAGCGGACAAGACGACCCTGCTGTTGCTATCGGTCCTTTACTTTTTCTAGTGTCATCTCCTTCGCCTTGAGACTCTATTTAGTACAACTAGCATTTTATCTGACCGTCTGCTACAACGAAGATAGCATCTTTGAATGTAGTCATTTATGTTGTGTTTGACCAATGTTTCCCTGACCCTTGTCCCAAGAAGTTGTATCTCCTGACACCTTGCCCAGAGAGAAATCTTGCCGCACTGGTCCAGAGAGAAACCTAGTGCAAGAGGAAGTGGCATCTCCTTGTTGCACTGATCGCGCTACGGCCACCCTGAATAGGACGGTCGAAGTTTTACCTCTACGATTGGCATTAAGAATTAGAACCTCTGTTGGAGTAAGACTCACCTAGCAACCTTCCCTATCAATACTTTTTCATTTCAATTTTGTGCCCTCAACATGCATCTACTATTCTTTGTATATGGATCAAAATCAATCTTCATGCTGCTCTTTTTCATTCATTCAGTCACATCACCCTCCTGTTTTTTTTTTTTGGGACCTGGGTCTATATTCCTCGCAATAAGAACATCTAATTACCCTGCGAGAATCCTGAAGCACAACGGCCAGGCAGCTAGATCTCCTCCATCATTCTGCTTTATCAGTCAGAACATAAGGAAAACAAGGGGGAGACCTTCTTTTAGTAACTACTAACACGACCTGCGAGTAGTTTGCATCAAATTATGCCTTCTACTCTTTGTCATTCTTTATTCAAATTCTAAATAGCAAATCCTCGGCATCAGAAGATCTGTCGACAATACGTTGGATGAAATCTTAAATACAATCCACAAGCGATTCCTAATGCTTTGAAAATATGAAACCATCTGTCCTATATATTGCTAGTCGTAGTGGTAGTCATATTTTTAGGCTTCTGGAACTTCAGTAAATTATCGACTTCGAACCCAAAACGATTGAACATGTCCATCTACCAGATGACACCAGAGCATTTAGGAAAATTTCCCGAGTCGCCCATAGAACCTCGCCGTTCCGCTTTGAATTGCATGCTGTGGTGCAACAGTGCCACCCTCTGTCCCAGGTGGAGGTGAGTCGTCGACCCGCGCTACTTCTTCACTTTGAGGCTTATTAGAGGCAGACGCTCTTGAAGAACAAGTTTCTACATATGAGGTACCTCCGATGCTGCTGGAACGCGCTCACGAGATTGGCTATTTAATTACGGGGTGGTCCGATTAAAGACTTACCCGATAACATCAGCCACTGAGTAACAAGGTATACCGAGAGGGAGGAGGAGTCTTCAAAGGTGTCAGTATTTCATCTAATGAATGGCTCTTGTATTTGGTAGCCGAATTTTGATCATAAGGAAAACAAGAAGGGAATCCTTGTGATCCAATTCAGGTTACCAAATACCAGAACCATAAATCTAAGTACTTAGAAGAGTAAAAGCCAATATTCATATTGAATAAAAAATAAATTTCTCTTAACTTTTCTCCCGTTCGCTCTGCCACGCTCCGCCTCCGGATCTTGGTGGGGCTGAGCAGCATTACAGAGAATCTCCGAGATTTTATCGTCCTCATCTTCCCCTTTTTTAACCTCGAAGATCTTAAAAGAACTTCCACCACCAGTTTCTGGAAACTGATGTCTCGTCGAGGCAGCACCTGCTCGCCCGATCAATTCTTGTTCCTAGAAATGAAGCTTGTTGGGCATTTTGGCTCTGGAGGGAATCTCTATAGCTTAACATCAAGGAAGATTAGCATTAGGCTTTATTGGGCTTGGAGGGTGGGTTCTTGTTTGGGGGAGACGAGTGGCATCAGTGGTCACAATCTCTTTCTCTAGTAGCTCTAGATGAAGTAGAAGTATGCACCATGCTGTAGGCCCTGTTAGTACCTCCAGAAATGAAGTACTCGATAAACTGAAATAAGCAAGCAACTACTTAAAATATTAAGTGAGATACTGAAACAAGAGCAACGTAATGACTCTGCTATTTCACTTAGCGCGACGCGCATATTTTCAGTTTTCGAATTAGAAGTATTGATGTGGTTGTTCTTACACAGTCTCTAGAAGTTAGTACTAGTGAAGAAGTATAGCATTACTAGAGACTAGTATCGATATTGTAGACTTGTAGTCATAAAGTGCATCGGGGAGGCCGATGTCGCGGTCCCCACTCGAGGAGGCGATCAAATCGAGAGACGACGAGAACTGAGTTGACGCCCCCTGCCGATTCAATGATGTAATGGCAGGCGAGCAAGTGGACGACCAACTTGCTGGGCCCACACCTTGTAATTGTCCATCTTCTCCGTTTGATGCGAGAGCAGCCTGTTCTTGCCCAGTAGTCGTATACTCGACACCCGAAGCCCCACGATCTTCACGGTTAGCCATCATTTGCTGTTTCGTAGCTCCTGGTGCACCTCCGCTACCCGTTGTTTTAGAAAAGATTCGTATTATATCATGTGTCTTGTATTTTAGGCAACAAATAATTCATATTCTCTAGATGAAGTCGTTGCTGATGCATAGTAGACAAATTTCATATCAATGACGTTCGAAATTTCAGTTCCAAATACTTGACTTCCTGCTTCATAAGAAAAGGCCCCACTGCTGCAGCCGGTTTAGGTTTAGGTCCTGTCCAAGAGCGGTCATATATTAGAGGCAGGGTTTTGGTGTTTCTGCTTCCCGTTTGTTCTGGCTTTGCCCCTTAGGAAAGGCAAGACAAACGGTAACAGGAACACCTTTAACCTACCCCTAAACATATTAGAGCTACCGCATTCGCATCTTCCTGGAGAGTCATATCCTTGGGTTTTTCTTTTTCAAGGAGAAAAAGGGCCAGGGGAGGTTGTGTTGAAGATACTTTGTTTAGTATTACTAGTCGTGGTAAGTAGCCTTAAGTATAACTGTTGCTGGACACGACTTCTACTGCTACTCGATCCTGTTCCGGCTGTACTCATCTTCAAGCCGCAATCCACGCTTCTCAAGGTCATTTTTTGTTCTCCGGCTCGTCCAGGTGGTGCTCCTGATCATGTCTTGTGCGATCATGATAGAACTAGTCAGATCATGGTGATGGTGAGAACGAGAAGAATAATATTGAACATACATCTTGTAGTTGTAAGCTGAAAACAAAAAATTCTAGAAGTAACTACATATTGATATTCATCTTGCTTCAAGGAGAAAAGTACAAGTACCTTGTTCTCCGCGTTCCTGGTAAGCCTTTAGATTTAACGTTCTGGTGGTTTGTGGCAGATGAGACGATGTTGAAGGTGATGTTCCTTTCCCTGGCACGACACCAGCGAAATTGGTGCTGCCAGTACTACCGCCAGATCGCAGTCTGATAGGCGGCAACTCTGTTCTGCACATAGATGGTCCTTCTGTTCCTGTTCTTGTTCCACTAGTATCTGTTCCTGTTCCACCGCTGAGCATCTTGTCTAACGAGGATGTTCCGTTATCTTTGTAGTCGTGGTCCCGATTGACAAGGCTTACGCAATAAGGCGGTGCAAGCTGAGTAGTATCAAAAGACGCGTCTCCAAGTGCGGTCGTCTTTTTGCATTGTGCATTTTGGTCCGCGTGACGAAGAGGTGGCAGCGGGACAGATAGCTTTCTGTCGCTTTGTTCTCCTGGAAAGGATACCCTGGGTTCTGCTAAGCGAACATTCGAATTGTAGTACTTAACGTCCGACGATTTTCTATGATACCGCCTTTCCCGAGCCCAGGTTGTCGAAGTTACAGAGGAGGTGGAGGACCTGCTGTTTTCCCCCGCTCGTGATAGTTCTAGTTGCCTGGATTCTCCATTCTTAACATGATCAACAAGGCCAGCACGCGGATCATCTCTAGTACCTGACGACACCGGTGATTTATTACCGCTGTAAACGAAATGTCCAACATGTTCACCCTCGCGCACTGCAGCTAGACCATAATGAACCATTAAGAAAGTGCCTCCAGGCGGAGCAGACGTGTCCTCTGGTGCGGCTCCTCTCCGGACATAGCAGCGTCCGTGTAACGTAAACGAAGATAATATGCGTGGTGGAGGTTCATGATCTTCTGCAACATTATAACCGTGATCGTCTTCGAATGATAGCTCGACTAGGATCTCCGCGCCGGGTCGTAGGTCGTAGGTCGAAGCATCCTTCTGAGTTAGAGGTATCGGGAATGCATCTCACAGATCACATCTATGTCCGTTTTCCCTCTTATTTTCATTGTCCACCAGAGAGATGACTTTGGAGATGCATTTCCTACACCCATAACTGAGAAAGCTGTAGTGTCGGAAGTTGTATCAGGTTGCCACCTTCTTGTCGTTGCAATGTGAGATGAAGCTCGCCATCCTCTCGCACTGGGTGCAATACCACTTCCACATGATCCGCCTCGGCTCCGCAGTTGTTGATCTCTAAGCCCCCGCCTGCCTCTTCAAAGAAGACGCGGTAACGATAAATCTCAACGCGGTCACCTTGTTCTTGACAGGAGAAGGTTCTTTGATGGAGATGATCATCGTCTACTTCCTGGTCAGAAGAGTGGCCCTGGAGATGATGAAGATGTCGTCCAGTATGTTGATCCTCGTTCTTGTTGATGTAGGGCGGCGGAATAATAGAAGACGTTTTGCCAGACAATAAAGGGCCCGCAGCTGGTGCTCCAGCTAGACCAGCATCTCCATTCCTCATCTTCGCTAAGTTTTCTTGTTCATCTACTGCTTGCAAATTCGCCTTGACGACTGGTGTAGTATGTCGCCTCCGACGGAAGGGAGTGCCTAAAATCCCCATGACCCTTCGTGGAATGCTTCCTGTCCCTCGATGTTGTTGGGAAGAAGATTTCGATGTTCTTGGGGTTTTGAAAGTAGTTGTCGTCGTGTTTGCTGGTATTGCGTCCTCATCAGTAGGAGTTGCACTTGAATCAACATTGCCGCCGAGACCCGCTGCAGTTGATACACCACGGGCACGGCGCCTCGACGAAGCTCCTGGTGCCCAAAAATTCCTCGTCTGACTCCTTGTTCCAGAAGTTGCAGAACCATTTTTTGGCGGGTGTGACGGGTCTTCGATTTTTCCAACGCCGTGGCCGTCATCGCCATTTTCTATGCGCAAAAAACTACCAGCTCTGTTATTTCTACGTCCTCTTTCTGATGTTTTTGCAGCTGAGGACGTCAACAACGCAGTAGCTCCTTCAGCTTGTTTCACATCAACATCATCATCGATACCGGACCTGGAAGCTTCATGATATATTTCACTGCGCTTTGAAAGAGCAGCACCTCCCGAAGAACAACCGTGATCACCACGTAGATCTATCCTGCGATCCTGCACGTTCACCCGAGCAGCTGGCGGGGAGGATAACTCCAGATCTCGCAGTTGCTGGCTCAAACAATCTACTCCATCGTTGGTTGTTTTCGGATTTTCACCTGTGTATTCATCGCCAGGAGTAGGTTCAGGAGCTACACGTGCGGTTTGATGTTGCGTTAGTTTACGTCGACCACCAGACCCATTATTAGGGGTATAATATAGGTCATCTAAAGGAAATTCATCTTCATCTGAGGAAGCATCTGGGTCATCTCCATCTAATCTTCTTGTTTTCTCCTTCCAGATGACCACTTTGGAGATGATGATGAACTCCCTAGTACATCAACACCCATAACTTGTTCTACATTAGATGATGACGAAGATCCAACTCCTACTCGATGAACCTTGATATTAATATCCGCTTGTTCCAGTCGTAGTTGTTGTACAACACGATGACGTGGAACAACAGCAGGAGACTTTCCGGCCACATCACGACGCTTTGTGCTGAAAACGCGGGATACGGTACCTCCTAGAGTACGGCTCCAAAATGGGGCGGGTGGAACACCTGGAGGAGGCACAGGAACCAAAATTGCGACGGCACCTTCTCCTGCTCCGGCATCAGACGATGCACCAGCAGCGGCTGCGGCACTTGTTCCAACTCCATCCTGAGTTCCATCATGGCATGACACGTTCTTCTGCTGCTCTCCTTCTGGTTCTTCTATGGAAAGAAGTGCAGCTGGGCAAAGAGCCCGAGGGTCGCGTTTCTCGCCCTCCTGCTCGACTGGATTTCGAACTCGATAATTTTCTTCAGCATCTTCAACATCTGGTGATTGTCCATTCCTCTTTATCTGCCGTTGAGATGAACCCCCTTTTTGATCTTTGGCGGCAAGATGTTCATAGTGTTCAGGACCGAGGATGTAATTAGAATCCTCTCTGCCCGAATTATGCACTGGCTGTTGATCTTCAAGAAGCAGATGCTCACGCCGAAACCCTGGAATGTCCGGACCAACCGCGCAGTCCACCATCTGTGGCCTAGGTGGCTGTGGCAATGGTTGTTGTGTACGACTACAAACATCCTCTTCCTCGCCCGCTCTCTTAGAGCTCAAAACATTTCGCCTCTTAGTTTCATTTCTTCCGAATCTCAAGAAGGGAGCAGAAGAAGATGACTCGCCCTGTTCGGTGATGAAATGAAGCGGGTGGCCTTAACTCTGGGTGGTGACCGCTGTGATGCATGATCACGACTCCGAAGCTCTCCTGCTCTTCCCCTTCTTTCAGGGGAAGTCTGCGCTCTGCGACGATCCCTACTACTTCCTGACACAATCAGAAGATCATCAAGTACTTCTTAGAGCCCAGCCTTATCCATCTTGAGACGCATCCTGGGTACTTTTTCCGCTCGAAAAGCCTCTTCAGGATGCCGCAGAAGATGGATAAGGGTGACCCTTAAATTCCTGATGCACAGTGAGAGCACTGAGGTTGAATCCTCCGCTCCCCAGCATTGCCATTGATGGCATTCTCTAAGGCTTCCTTCGCTGCAACGATGTCGCAAGCCTCTAGATCAAGATGGTAGCCAATCACTTTGGTTGATATTCGTGATTTTTCTTAGAAGAGATATAATTAATTTTTAGATAGCTCGTCACGAGTGATCATGCAAATGTATAGAACATGTAAGATGTTGCAACTATGTATTTTAATGGTGTAGCCGCAGGAGCTGCTAATGCGGATCGATCTTGCAGTCACTCCAAAAAAGCATCTTCACATACTAGCACGACATGGTAGTCGCATAGCACGACCACCACTAGTTGTTGTAGGTACGAGAGTTGTTGTAAACAAAAACATTCAGGGGCACGATCATGGTCGTCCCAACGAGAAGAACAACTTTACATACTATAGTTCTGGTCGAGCCGACCTAACTAGAAAAACTATAGCCCATCGCAACTTCTTTGTGCGGTTCCGTCTGCTGACACTTGCACACCTTGCATCACTGCACTTTGGACAGCAACGGCGACTGCTTGTTCTGCAGTATCTCCACAAAGATCTGCCACGTTATGTCCTCTAGAACTAGAAGCCGCATGCTGCTGTTCTTGAACTTGAACACAGCGGGCGCGTGGTGTAGGTGCGCTAGGTGGAGCTTTCTGCATTCCTCCCGTGCTGCCCTTCTCCTGTACTTCAGTCCTACAACGAAATATGTCTTCACGTATAATTTCTTTTGGGCCGCCTATTGTTCTACCTGCAGGAGCCCCCTCAGGTCCAGCTTTGGGCTTAGAATTCTTAGAGGCTCTCAGTAACGGTTTAAGCGTCAGGTAAGTGCCAGAACAGTCAAGGAGTGAAGGAGAGAGTGAAGCGAAAGAGGTGAAGAGTGGAAAGAGCTAAGATGAGATGAGCCTCTCAATAGATCAACCATAGCCCTACACTTTCTGCTACATTTCCGCGAGACTTGTTGCGGTTGTCGGTCCTCCATGTCCCTCTCACTTTCGTCGGAAGAATCATTTTCGTCTTCTTCAGTATCGTCATAGATTAGATCCGTAGGTGTATCATCAATTATCGGTTATTGTGTTCGTCTGTTTTTATATTCTGATGAACTCACTTCCTCGGTGTTCCTGATCTACTGCAACTATAGCCATAAAGAGATACTAAAAATACTAAATTCCGGCTAATTGAGGGAAGAAAGCGACGGGTGCGATGCCTGCCTTTATCTTAAATTTTGCTCAGGCGGAGTCTGTATTTGGTCGCTGATAGAGGAATCGGAGCTCTGCAGAGTCCTCTGGACGCTCTGCAGAGTCTGGACACTTTGCGCATGTACTACTCGCTCACCTACGTGAGGTCGTCGTAGTTTCTCACCAGAAATTCCTTTTACCTCCTCTACTTTGCAGCCGGCGACTTCTTCAGACTCAATTTCCTCTGCAGAGGACGTGACTTCCTCCTCGTCCTCCTGCTCCTCATCCTCATCGCGCGTGTCTTCTACATCAGATGCGTCGCACGCAATCTGATAGAGCCACCACTTTTTCCTTTTCGCAAAGGCCTCCTGCTCTCTCTTGTTGTGCCTTGTCTTGATTTTCGTATCCACTTGCTCAGCAGGATTGGAAGTGCCACACCTCTTAGAGTTCTTTGCTTGATGAGAGAAAGGATTCAAATTTTATTGATTTCCTGATCGTGATTGGATGCAGGAAATTATTTCAGGTGTTGACATTGAATTCATTGACTACTTGCTGATTGGTTGCAGGTAATTTCAGGTGTTAACATTGAATTTCCTCAATTTGACTTTTTCTCATCTATTCATTGCGAGTTTGAAGCTGAGTAGAGATACAGGAGGGTGCTGCACGGAAAAACGAGCGCAGGGTAATCATCAAAGATCCAAAATGATGAATAGAGAGAGGGCCTCGTAACTTTGGCTTTTTCTGTTTGCTTATTTGCCGGGCACCACCTCCAGGGTCCACCATCCTCTCTTCGCGAAACTTCGCCTTCTTGCTGCTCCTGACCGCCAACTTGTAGGTTGTACTGATAACTTGTAGCTTGATGTTGCCCACCTTAGAACTCCTACCGCATTGGCAACATCCCTGAGACCATCCTTGGGTTGGGGGCCCTTTTTCTACGTGAAAAATAAGGAACCTCCAAGGATGATATTGAGGATGCTTCAGGTTCAGCAGTGGCCATAATGTTCTCGTGCTCCCCCTCCTCTTCCTCCTCCTCCGGAGATTCCAAACAAATTATTTGAATCATTAGTCATATTTTTCCGAGTCCGCGCGTAGCGTCTCTGCAACACGGCAAGCACCTCCTTGCACGCTTCGTACGGTTACTTAGACGTAGTTCAGGTGAATAAAAAGGGTCCTGCCACAATCTTGTTCCCACGACAAAATAATAATTAGTAGAGATACTGATACTTACAGTTACAACTTTTACTTACTGTGTTTACTCACAATAGAAGGACTACTTCCCTGGATTTTTGTCTTGTGCATTTTTGATGCAATTCTTTTCTACGTCTACATCACTGTCATCTCCATAGGATAATAGGGCTCTGTGTCGTCCGGAACGTGAGGCTCTTGTTTCTCTGCCTCTTCCTCCTGTCTGACCCGACTGGCCTCTTCCCGCACGTGCGCAACAAATTTTATCCTTTCCAAACTCTGCTCTTCACCCTGCTGCTGCTCAGACTCACCGGCCGCGCCGGGGGATGATTAGAGCTCCAGCCTTCAATTCATCTCTTCAGTAGATTCCCAAGATGAAGGAAACAGAAGAACTCATGACCCTTGAACAACAGGAATTGTTCTGAGCCGTAAAATGAGATTCTCACAATTTCTTCTTCATCTCCTTCGTGCTCTCCATCTTCATCGTCTTCCCCTTCTCCACCACCTTCTGGATCTTCGTCTTCTTGTACTTGTTCACGAACATCTAGAAGATTGTTATTCACCGTAGCTCCTCGTCCTCCTCCGCGTCCGCATATTTGTCTACAAGTGGTAGCTTCGAATCCTCGAGGTTCTGCTTCTTCATCTTGAGCCACCAGGTCTCTACGTTTAGTATGTTCTTCTTGATGTTCATCCAGACCAAGAGCGTCTACTTCTTCGTGATTTATGGCGGCGGATTCTACTACTAGAGGACCGGAGGCCTCCAATAGCCGAGACTCGTCACTTATCACACGAACTTGGAGTACTTCATCTTCGTCTGCTAGTTCTTGTTGTACTTGTTCTTGTTTAGGACGAGGTTCTGGAGGTCGAAAAAGTTGGTCTTTGTTGTACTCTTCTACTTCGACCAAAGTAGCTGGTGCTTCATTTTTCATTCCTGGGTATTCTGGAGACCGTGTTGTTGTACCAGGAGCAGCGTGGTCAATGATCACATCAGTAACGTGGTCATGGCATCCCTCACCCGTCTCTAGTCCTCCCCCTGCGTCGTCATGATCTACTTCTGCAGGATCATGACTTTCTTCATTCATCTGCTCTTGACCACGATGCTGTTGCTGATCTTGACGAGAACAATTGTCCAGGGTGCCTGAAGTATGGACGACAGTATTGATACCTGGTGAGTCCTGCTCGTCAACAGCTGGTCGCGCACCTTCTTCAGTCGGTCCTCGATGCACAAATTGAACTTGTTCCTGTCTTTCATCATTAGACCTTACTTATTTTCATCTTTAAAAGCATCTTTGACGCATCATTTTCCCCTTAGAAGAGGAGCCAGAGATGCCTCTCAAGATGAATTCAAAACTGTAAGCCATAACATCAGCTTCAGCAGTAACGCCTCGACTGAAGCCCTGGTCTCCAGAACCAGTGCCAGCCAATCCGAGTGATAGAGCCTCTTCAGACGTTTTCTGAGAAGGTACAGGAGTAGGAGGCGCAGCAATTGCACCAGGACGCGGCTGATGCTTATGCGGGAAGGACACTATCACTTGCCGGTCTAGTACTACTCCCCATGTTGGTCTCTCTTGACTGAGACGCGCAGCAGCTGGTGCGTGATTCTGATCGATGTCACGCGACAGCTGCTTCGTGGTCCCGACTCCATATTCAGGTTTTGTTGCTTTTCTTGCATTGTCTGCGTCGAGACCCACTATGATGTCAGGGTGTTTACCAACCTGCTCTCCTGCAGCACAAGATTCCTCTTCACAAGATGGATAAAAGACAACCTCAGAAGTGTTCGATTTGTCGTTCAAGCATGCGTGGTTGCCATATTTTTGCGTAGCTATTTCTAAAGAGCGAAACAGCGGTCGGCGTGAGGCGCACTCGGTTTCGAGGTAGCACCCGCATGGTCCTACGCCACTGCCGAATCCAGCGGCGCCCTGTTTGTTAGAGGTGTGGGGAATTCATTACGGGGATCATCTGGATCCCTCTTCCAACTTGTCTTTTTCTCTCTTTCAGATGACTCATTTGGAGATGATGAATTCCCTACAACGCACACCCATAAGCTTACTCTGTGAGGCTGATGTTCTCCTCACTCCGATATCTTGATTCAGATTCAACGCGGTCTGCACAACGTGAGGGGACATCACTTCCTCCCGCATCACACTGGTCACAAACTTTCGTAGCTCGTGCCGTACTTGCTTGGTTTCCTGCTCGACCTCGCTGTTGGTATGGCGTTGTTAGAGGTTACGGAGTTACATTCTTCAGAACATCCCTGGGCCTGGCCTCTTTTCGACTACTTAAGTAGGCTCAAATACTCAGGGATGGTAGTGAGGAATGCAATTCGGAAACCTTTAACGATCTTGCTGATGCTGATGCGGATGGCCTCCACCCCCACGAGGATGGTGATTACTGTTATGGTGCTGGTGGTGAGGACCTCCGTCTGCTCCATGCTGGCGCTGGGGAGGTTGACGATCTTGCTGAGGAAATGGAGGTCTTCGATCATGCTGAGGACGTCCGACCTCTTCAACTACGTCTTGAGGAGCTGAAGGACGGTTCCCAGGACGGTCCCCATGCCCATGGCTGCATTAGAAAGATTTAAAAAAAAACAGGAACTTGAAGATGTACAACTTTAGCTTCTTCACCAGTGAAGATTCTGATTAAAATATATAGCAACATCGCTTTCATGACAGATAGTACGTTTAAAGATGATGAAAAAAAATGCTTGGCGGGGGCAGAGAGACACGGCTCCTAGTCACAGAGCAGGAAATGAAGAAAAAAATCCTATCAGACATGATGGCTACAACAGTCTTCTCCCCTTAAGGGTTACAACACTCCTCTCCTCTGTTAACCTCGTCGTCATCATCGGCGTAGACGGCTACGAGCACTGCAACAATCGCATGTGGAGTCCGACCTGCGTCTACCTTGTTGCTTCTGCGCGATCTCGACGTCGTGCTGCCCCTAGCATCTCTGTGTTGCTCTGCTACATCTCCTGACACGTCTTCTACTGGACATTCTGGCTGATTTCCATCATGTTGTTGTGCTCCTGGATGTCGATGTTCTTGCTGGTCGTGCCTTGTCGAAGTAGACCCTCTCCCTTCACCAGTAGACCCTCTCCCTTCAGTAGACCCTCTCCCTTCAGTAGACCCTCGGGCTTTATTATTATCTCGTCTATTGGCGTCGACGTCGTTGCCACTTCTACGCGCAGGTGGTGAAGCTGCGCCTCGTCCTTGTTCTCTTCTAGCTGGAGCTGGAGGGCTCGATGTCGACACAATATTTGGACCACCCACACCTGGGGATACACTACGAGGCTGTCTACTTGTTGTTGTACATCGTCTCTGAACAACTTGATGTTGGGCACCACCTCCACTGCCTTGATCATGATGTTGAAAGGGATTTTGAGGTAGATGCTGTTGGCTCTCATTTGAATAAGATTGCTTAGTTCTCCTGTTGTCAGGGTCACGACATGAAGATCTCCTGGCCTGCTCCTGGCTTCCATTAGAGCTACCGCGCCACAGCGTCCCTGGGTGCATCCACCTTGGCCCGTTTTTCAAGTAGAAAAGGGCCAAGGATGACATTAAGGATATGCTCCAGCGGTAGCCTTAACTCCAGCGCCATCCTTAGACCCAGACGACCATGAGCCAACACTTCCACTAAGCTGCTGCTCACCCCCTCCATTGCCATGTTGAAGACCTCCTGCATTCCCATGACGTTGTTGTGCATCTACTCCCGAGGAGCCAGAACCTGCTCCTCCCTGGACGACACGTGGGCGGGAGTTAGAGATAGTATCGAATGTAGATCCTCTTCCTCGATCTTGGAGCAAAGCCTCTCTCTCTCTCTCTCACGTAGGAACAAGGATGGCGCCTCGTCTTCCTTAGTCTTCCTCTAAAGATTTTATCTAATATTTGATCAACGAACAGGTCATTTATTCTACCGATCTCATGATCGGTAGAATAAATGACCTGTTGATCAAATATTAGATAAAATCTTCAGAGATAAAAGCCCCTTAAATATGCCAAAACCGGTCGCACTACTCTGCTCGGGAGGACGCGGCAGTTCGCCACTAGTGCAAGGCGTGTGCTTTGGTATTCCATCTAATATTAGCGCTGACCCTAAAAATCCATTCCGCGATCGTCTTCCCCTTGCAAACGTCTTCAGGAACAGGATGCCAGGGGTCTCTCTGAGGAAGATGGACGATTACTTATAGGGGAAGCCTTAAATCTAAGACGCTATCCGTACGCAGAGTTCCGTGAATCATGATGCCGCTATCTCCGCATGCAGCACCGTGGACGACATCAGTATCGCCTACAGATGTTGCTTGTGGCCTCTCGCGAGGACTTTTCACCCCAGCAGACTCCGGTTTCGCAGCATGCACAAGAACAAGAAGGAGAGCTGCTGTTCCTGCTAAAAACATGTTGAATTTCCTCATGGTCGTGTTCGTTGTCCGAAAGGGACACCACGATGAAGAAATGTCGCGTCCTCTTATTCTTGTCATTTTGAATTAGAGTCATCTGCTAGATTGCATCTCGGCGCCCTCATCTTGACCCCTTTTACCTTGTATTTCACGAGAATACAAGGGAAAAGGGGACCAAGATGCCGAGAATGATGGAAAAAAGCTGACCATAATTCAAGTTGCTGTAACTGCCAAGAAAAGGACTCTTCTTGCTACCGTCTCTAGTGCTGCTCATCTGGTAAAGACGCTCAAGACGAGTCTATGCATCAGGTCGTGAAGGAAGTTGCGCTGTATAATGACTCCTGCTCGCTAACGCTATTTGAAAAGTAGTTAGAAGCCATGATCCAGATCCGCACGCCTTCATTCGTTGCGACGTTCTAGTTTGGACGCCTTCATTCGTTGCGACCTTCTAGATTGGAGAGCATGACGTTGTAGAGGTGCAGGTTGCCAGCACAAGTTCCGAAAGAGAGCAGCAAATGCAAACCCAAGAACGAACGCAACGACGATCATAAGGACGTAAAATTCATCATGCTCCTGTTTCTTCAATCGTACTAGAAGATATATTTCATTGAATAGTAGAGTACATTAGCATAGAAGACAGCGATCATAGTAGAGAAGGATTTAGTACAAAAAGTCCAAGAACGATCTTCTTACTGCTAACCAAAAATCCAAAATATTGTTCATGTTGCACTCGAAAATTATGTGACTAGTACTTACCTACTAATTTTACCTGAATAATCATTTTTATCATGCTCAAAAAACATAAATTTATCAACAAAAGTATTAAAGTGCTCCATGTCCGCGTTTCACATAATAGAGCCATGTGGATCATCTGAGTCACCAAATGTGTGGATCAGACGGGCACGATAAAGTTAGATTACTACTATGACCTAAACTTAAATGACTGAGACCAAAACCAATTAGAGTTAGTAGACACTGATATGATGCTTGTTCATGATCCAACATAAAAAGTAAGAGTTCCTCTCACTCAGACAGACTCGAGACAAAAAAATAAGACAATGCGTGGATAAATTGATCGTACTTCAATCAGCATGCTTTGCTATGTGTTAGTTTGTGTTGACCTCCGGATGAGTCTTCAAAAAAAGAATAGATTCCATAAACTACCTTGTTCATCAAAATAGATATGCAAGGATCATCTTTGAAATATTATGCGGTCGTAAAGGTTTGATGAAAATAAGCTCAAGGAGCATTGCAATGGCTTAAACTAGAAACATGTCGATATTATAAAATCGGTGGAGCACTCCTAACTAGCAAACAAAAATTAAAAAGGTCAGGTATGCCAAATATCTAATAAATTTCTAGTGGCCACGTTTATATTAGGATCCTTCTATTTTAGGCGCCGCGCGTTCGTCCTTCTGCCCTGGAGGTCTTCTCATCTATGGCGGCCGAAGCCAGTGCGTGCCTCAGAGAAGTGCTCGGTTCTCGCGCTATGTGCACCCACTAGTTCGCTCCAGGGTACCGGTTCACCAAACTAGTGCACAGCGCGAGAAGTAGGACTAACTATTTCCGTATCTTATTCAAAAGCTTTCTATCTAGTGCTAGGCCTAGCTTGTTCTATTTATATACTATTATTTTATCTCTATATGATCCTTTTCACGGCTACTCTTTTACTTTCGTCTTCCGTTTTTGTCCTTTTGTTTTCATTTCCAAGAGTACGATCTGTCACCTTCGATATGATTTCTCAAAGCTCATCCTCTCTCCTCTCTCACACATCCATGCACATGCCCCGCAGCAGAATACCCATTGGCTCGCGCCTGTAATGTTTGTGTATATATTTTTGATAAGGGTGTCATGTCATATTTGTATTGGCAACCACATATCAACTCGCTACAGGTGTGTTAGTATCATACAGCTTTCCCATAAGCATACTAAGCTGATACTAAGCACGTATGCGCGAGGTATATGTGGCACCCGTAGGCTGTGGCACTTATGTCCACTAACATGCCCTGTTTTTTCATGTCGCTGGACTACTTGTTTAGTCTAATTGCTTGATGGCTTGTTCGTTCTTGTTGTTTAGCTAGTTTTTCTTCCATCTACTGCTGGACTAAGTCCCTTTTTCCCCCTTTAACTGCTGTGCTGATTCCTGCAAAGCCGTCTTCCCTGCTGGCACTATCCACACATCGACTGCTTATCCGCCGCATGTTAAGTTGGGCTATATTATCCTACGGGATGTGTAAAGTGTTCTAATATATAAAAGGTCATGGGAACAATAGGGCCAAGGAAACATGTCGATATTATAAACAAAATTTCAATTTACTGCAGTAGAATCGGCATATTTTTACGGGAAAAAAGCTCCTCAGATATTGTGCGACTGCCACCAGCCGTTCGATCGGAGAATGATCCGAGAGATAGTCGAACACAGAAGACGACAAACGCTTTTTAAATCCTCCGGGAGTCCGGAGGCAGGGAGCGAGATGCAGAGGGAGAAGCTGCACGAAAAGCGGACGTTAGTTTCACCCTTCAGCAGAAACATACACGTTGTCCTCATGCGGACTCATTATAATATTTTTGCATAGCGTATTCTCATCGTTCGTTGAACTAGCAAGCATCGTCAGCGTCGAAGAGTGCAAAATGGACACAGTGGCTCACTCATTCATTCAGGGGGCCTGCGCGATAATTTTTTTTTTGTTACCTGGGTCTACATTTTCCCGCTATAGTTCCATTTATTAGTTGTTCAACAAAAAGCTAGCGTTGCATCATCTATCTTCGTTAGATTTCATCTATCTGGAAAATGTACTGCCGGAACCTTTTTAGATTCAAAAATATTAACTACAGAACAAACGATAGAACTAGTACAACGGTTGCAGCAGACACTAATATTACTTTGAATGATAGCACTGCCAATTATCGTCGACGTATGTACCCCTCAGTGCTCATCGCGTGGTGACAAGCCAGCAAGGATAACGAGCATCAGAAATACACCTATTTCGTAAGTAGTAACTAGTGAAAGAGACGAGAAAAATGATACACAGATACACTGACTCTAACAAATAGTAATCGAGCTACGCTTTGAAAAACCAACACTAACTTCATCTTCTAAGAAAGGCGGGTAATACCAGTACAGCCTGTACCTGTAAAAAATCTTAATCTCTCTCCAAACAAAATCTGATAGATACGACAACCTCTTCTAGTACAACCTGCTAAAAATCTTTCCTCAAATGATGAAGGCAATTACTGCAGACGCAGCCGCTACTAGCCATTATTATTAAATGTCATAGATGAGCTTGAACGTCAATCAAGATCTAAGTCGTCTTCATACGCACTGACTCACCCTTCCTTCATTCCTCAAATACAATCAGATATGTCCCAAGTTCTCTGGTTGCCACGATAATGAAGACAAGCGCCGCTGCTCGACCACCAGCTCCACGCCGTCTGCGGACATTGAGCCAAGATCTAAAATGCGCGGATTATCCGGTGACGTGGGGTTGTAGAGAGTTAGAGGTTGAGTGACCTAGAGGAGACGATTACTTGTAACTCTCTTGTCCTACGAAGATCGGGCGGTCCATGCTTCAAAATCTCACATACTTACACAATTGAAGTTTCTCTCTAGGCTCATTTTGAACTAAGTATAACAAAGAGCCCCTCGTTGTAATACCACACAGGATGAACATCAAAGTAGGAGTGGAAATTGGAGTGGATGTGGAACCCTTCCCATAACATCAGAGTAATATCATCGCCGCTGTGGTCTCCATTTTCGACAGGGGTTACTGACCCAGTTGCAGCATGATCCTTTGAGGCAAATCGGTCGGTGTCGTAGAAGAGATCTACGGAATTGGGATGAGGCGCTGCTTGAGTTTTTCGCTCGAAATGGACCAGTTTTCATTAGAACAAATACGTAAAACTGTGTGCGTTTGTGTTGAGTCTATCTTCGTTGATGAGCTGCAGCTGGTGCAGCAGCCCCTCATCTTGTTCATCTCGACTTTCAATATGCAGTACTAGCTAGACACTATCACGTCAAAGTAATAAATTCAGATTGACGCTTTTCATCTAGCTTCAATCATCAGCCTTAATTCAAAGCCCTCCTCACAATCTCCGCTGTGGCTTTTTCCCTACGCTGCTTATGGCCCGAGAACGGCAGGAGACTGACATCAGCTGGGTCTGGCGAAATCAAATGCGCAATACCTCCAGCCTTTGCATCGCCCAGACCTACGTCCCCATCTCCACGCTCGGCTGATTCTTTCAATTTGACGGCACTTTGAGCCCGAGCGTCTTGGAAGAAATTGGCAAGGTTAGAAGAGGTAGGTTGCATACTAGGAACAGAAGAAGTTGTAATTCTTGTGGAGATCGAGGATCATGGATTAGCATTGACTAAATTTTAAAAACAACTCAGAAAATATAAGAGCGTGCTTTCGAAACGACTACAATCACAATAAAGACACTTGTTCGCGAAGTGTTTAGGTTGACCTCGACCTAGACCTCGTGTTCCTTATCTTTGATGCCGGAGCTCATGTTCCTTATCTTTAAATTAGTTTGATGCCATACGAGCTGGTCTCCCATTTGGCATAGGTGGGGCCACTCTTTGGAAAATTGTGCCTGCCTGTGACGGCAGATCGTCAAGCGCGACAAGGAAGGGTCGCTCGGGAACGTTAGGGACTGGCCCAAGGGTACTATCTACAAGTCCAACGACCGTGCCACGAATGTCTGCTGATATTCTGTGTTCCTTACTGGTGCAACTATGCTGATGCTGTCCGTTTACTAGACGCATTGTGTCAAGTTCTGGCCTGCGGACAAATCGGCCATCGACTTCAGGCGGATCGAATGCAGGCGCTGTAGAGGTATAATTGTGGTTGTTCCGATTGGCTTACCACAAGAAAAAATTATGTTAATGGATTCAGCTCCGGTCAGTGATCATCCACGAAAAAAAAAACGAAAACAACCTCTTCAAACTAATCGCTTGTTTCAATCACCTTTTGATACACATCTATATACATCCTTTCGCGTCCTTCCGTATCGTATAGCACAGTGATGACGGTATCTCCACCCGATCGCCGACTCGGGCTTCCATACTGATCCGCGCAATAGCCGCTTGCATCTGGCCAAAAAATTTTGCCTCTAGACGACGAACTTGATTAACTGTGACTACCTCTGCGGGGACTGGTGCACCTTTTTTAGCACCAGATGAACTAGAAACGTCAGCTGTTGTACTAGAGCTAGAAGTTCTCTTGCTAGAAGAACTACTAGTCGAAGCTGCTTTCTTGATCTCTTTCGCAATCGCAGCCCCTTTGGCTGCATCCAATACCATGGTCGGAATGTACTTGACTTCCAGGTCGTGCACGATTTCCATGGCGAGTTCGATTAATTCCCACAGTGCCACAGGTGTTGTTGGAGGCTCCATTACCGGTATTAGAGGAAGAGGTCTTGTAGGAGGAGGTGGAGAAACAGAAAATGCAGCCTTTGCATCTCCATGTTGAGTCTGAGGAATTAATACAATGTTCATCATCTGGCTGGTATCTCTCATCTTCTCCAGATGATGACTCTCGCTCGACGACGTGCTCGTGCGAATGCACATTTTTCTACAAGAACACGGCTCATAAAGTAAATAACATCAGCAAAGCGCTAAGAATGTGTCGTCTGGAACACGGCTCCGCAACTGTTGCAGCGGTCCGCTCTCCATTATGCCTGAAACTTACGTGCTTCCGACAACGTCCAGCGGCACCAGCACTCGAAGCGGCGTGGCGCTGAGCGTTACCTTGTTGCGCAATTTAAATATTGAGTGAAGATTGAACTGCCAGTCGTAGTCGTTATTTGAAGAGCCTCAATGCTCAGCGTTAATTTTTGTGCTTTTGTAGGTACATCCTGAGCGATGTAAAGTAAGTGTAACAAACCAGCAAACGGGTCAATAGCAAGTCTATTAATCGACTTTGGAAGATGGCTGCTGCGCTGACACGCCGGAGGAAGTCTCGATGTGGAGATAAATGAAGACAAGAATACTCGAGCATCAAACTACTTATACACGTCAAGACTGACAAAACACGAGAAAAGAGAAAAAGACAAGCCACCGGCGTCGCCGCCGCGGCGCCCACTGTTTAGCATAAGCTTCACTCAGCAGCCCCAGCATCGTCCTGCCTCGCGTCACGACTGTGCTGGTGCTGCGCCATGTACCCCGTTGGCACCACTGCACAAAGCAGAGCGCCACCCCCAAGCGCTCTCTCGCCGACTTCTGTGCCGACGTAGCTATGAGACCCACCACGCGAAAGCAAGAACCGCCGCAGAGACGGCGGGGGGCCTCCGACGCGTTGCGCGCTGCCTTTGGCTTGCCGCGACTGGGCCGCCACGATTGCTATGCCCTGCATACTTCGGGCTCTGGTGGAGTTCACTCCGGCGCTGTGCTGTCACAACAACAAACAGAAACAAGCCAGGCTCTCCACCGTCAGCCGCAGGCGTAGCTGATGGCGTTGCTGAACTACTCAGAGACCCTTCAAGAGCGAGCGCATAGATCGATAAGCACACCCAAAGCAAAACAAAGCGAACCCCGCAGACGCGCAGACGCTTGCCCTCGATTACCTCCCAGAGCGGGCAAGACTGGACGCAGATGCATACGCGGGGAGGCTTCAGCCTCCTAGTAAGGGCACAGCGGTAGAGCCTTGGCGCATCTCCTGGAAATGGCGGAGCTAGTTGCCCTCGCCAGAGCAGCCGCGACGATGGCCGCCACTGTCGACGCAGTTGGGGGGCCTGCCTGTGACTTCTCCACTTCTGAGGTAAAGGGCGCGAGCTGGTCCGCCCAAGGAGGTAAAGGCACGCCCGAGGGGGCCCAATCCCAAAGGCGTCAGCCTTCTCCATCCCACCATGCATCGTAAGGGGATCGCCAAAACGCGACCCCAGTCGCATCATTCTCCCCACCGTTTAGCCGGCCCCAAGAAAGCCACGATGCCGAGTCTGCTACGAACGGCATACAGTCCTAGGCACGCCCGCTGTGGTTCCTAAGTATCGCGGAGAGAAGAGAGGGGAGCCCTTCGCCTCTCCCTCACAGTAAGGGCGCGCTTCGTCTTCTCTTGAGTTGACAGCGTCGCAGCTATGTATCCCGAGGCGCTTGCATGTGGCGCAAGCCGCGACCCCGCGCGCAGCCTGGCAGAGGCGAGAGCACTCGGAGCGTGCTCCCCTTCAATGCTTTCCCCCTGGCTGCGACTGCGACGGCGGGGCCCGCCGTCCACTTCTTTGCGCAAGTTACCCAGCGGCTGGCCTGCTCCTTCCTCCGAGTCCCTCGGCCTGCAGTGGGTGAGAGTGGGCACCCAGTCGAGTGGCGACGGACTCGTCGGCAAGGCGCTGGCATCGCAGTCGGAGACGTGAGAGAGGGCCGAGAGAGGTCCCCACAGCCTCCGCGGTGGGTGGCAGTGCATTCCCTCTGCCCGTTCATGCCTGAGAGGTGCGCTGTGTCTTTGCTGCCTGAACGAACGAGAAAAGAGACCACGCATTCTCGCTGAGCTTGTTCTTACTTGCGTGATACACGAAACCTAGATAGTACCTGGTCTAAAATTGTATGTGAACAATTCCGCGAATATCCGTCGCACGTCCACTGACAGGTGTGGAATCAGGGGAAGCAGCAGGTTTGTCGCCAAAAATTTGCCGCGAGTTCGCTTACGCATTTGCCTCATATCGAAAGCACGGTCTTTTCGCTGCTCCAGGACCATGTCCATCGTCTTGCCTTTTTCTAAGGCTTGCGCTTTTAGTCTGTCTTCTAAGGCTTGCTCCGCCGACTCCTCACCCCTTCTGAAAATCGAGTGCAACATGTTTGCGTAGTGGGTGATAACTGTTCCAGCTTGCATCAAAAACGCCATCTCATCTGGACTCTTTAGCTCTCCGATTTGTGGCAAATCCGATACTTTGAACTGAAACGCTGGCTGCTGTTGTTGATCTACATCCTCAGGTGCGTTCTTTGCGTCCTTGTCTACCTTGTTGTGGTCTTGGAAATAGCGATGCGAACGCTCTAGCCGACTTTTGCCAGCTGCGCCTCGGCTATACGAGTGTGAGGACTTCTTGGTTGCATCATCATGCGGGTTTGTAGTGATTTTGATAGGATTTATGCCCATCCGTGCGTTAATGTGTGTCTCCCACCGGTCCATCGTTTTCATCGTTGTTATTCCAGTTCCACCACTCCTGCTACCGCTGGCTGTGTTGGTGGAAGACTTTACTTTCCCTTCGCTACAGCCTCCTTTTGACTTTCCTCCTTTTCCACCGTCACTGCTGCACTCTAGAGCATCGATATCTCGAAGCAGTCGCTGTGTGCTGGAAGGCGACAGAGATTCTCGATCTGTAGGAAGAAAGGGACGATAAGGGCCTTCTGCAGTCTCTGAAGCTTTAGTTGAACTCGTTCCTTCGGAAAGGGCCTCCACTTCTACTGATGAGTCTTTTTCTTCATTAGTACTACTAGAAGAACGTTTCCCACCTACATTATTCGAAGCAGAGGACGGGCGACGACTCGATTTTGATTTAGGTTCTTTTGGAGCCAGGGGAGCAAAGTACGACTCCGTAATTCTCTCAGTCACTGACTGCCAATCCCACCAGAAATCCACGGCGGCTTGTCGATCCAAAAACCAAGGCAGATGATCGATTTGCGGAGACATCGTACGCCAATGGAAAATCACTTCCTGAAGCACTCCAAGCTCAAATTGAGGAGGCTCTTCTGGTGCTGGTTTTTGATGTTGAGATGTTTTGGATGATGCTCTACCCGTCTTTTTCCAACTTGTAGAAGATGAGGAGTCTTTCCCGCCTCTACTCTGCCGTTCCTGTGCTTGAGGAAGAACAAGACCTACATCTTCTTCGTCTCCAGCTCCATGTTGCTGTTCTATTTCATCAACAAGATGAATATCACCAGCGTTAGCGTAAGTATTGGAGGTGTATTCCATCTCAACTGTACCGGTTTCTGGATTCTTCCTAACGATATACAGCCCACCTCCGTCCTCGTCCTTTCGCGCTACCACATTATGCGCACCACTACCGAATTGAAGCGCTTGTGCATCGACGGCCGTCGTTCGTTCATTTGTAGTACTAGAGGTGGCACCTCCACTATTTTGAGTTGTACGAGAGTCTACTTCCTCCTCGTCATCTCCAGGTGCAACCCGACTCCGGATATTGTCTCCAACGCGGATATGGAAAACTCGTTCAAACAGTTTTTCTACCGCCTGCGTATCGATTCCATTAAAGACCCCAAATAAGCTGCTCCAAATATACTGTCTCCCACGTGGTCCCGGATGTGTCCTCAGGTACTCCCTGTTCTCCTCCGTGTCCGCAAACAAGTGGCCGGCTAAACTGGAGCGGTAATCGCGAAGAAAGAGCAATGGTCGCGCATGGTTCCTCAGGACATAAGCTGCATGTAAAGCAGCTTGACACGTGTAAATGACTTCCAGAAAGTTCTTGAATGTCATAGACTTCTTGTTCAAATCTCCCAAACCACTCTGCTCCAAATTGCGCTTTACAACTTGACTCCACGGATCCTCGTACCCTTTCCAGGTTGTTGTGTCCAGAAAGTCTTCCAGAACCCCATTTCGTCTCGCCATCTCCCACTGGTTGAGGAAGAACCGAACTCCTGAACTTGGAGCTCGGCCGGCAGCTTGGTGCATAGGCAAGGGCTCCGCTTCCTCGAGTGTGCTGCTCTTCGTAACCGTATCATCCTCTTCATCACTTGATGGCCCATAATCTAAAGAGCCGTCACCTCCATCGTCGAGTACTATCGCAGTTTCCAGAGCAAAAAAAAATGACCAACGAATTGCGTCTGCCTGAGTGTCTGCTGATTTTCGATCCGATGAAGCAGGGGCATGCAAGGCTAGAATTGTTCGTTTTGTATGGGTAGATGAGTCTTGTTGTGGCTTTTTCATCTTCGGAGTACCGTACCAGTCCCGCTCTTCGACGATGGCAGACTCGATGTTTTCCCACGAGTGTGATGGCCCTCCACGCATCAGAGTCAGAGAAACGTCTTCTTGCTGGTCGAGATCGGAATCCGCTGATTGATGTCCTTCTCCTACTTGGCCAGTTGGTGCAGTAGTACAGCTAGTACTAGTATTCAACT